TGGTACTCTTCAGCAAGAGGGAGAAGGTGCTGGAAAGCAATGCTGAATGCACTGGGCAAATGCCAATAACAAGGAAAAAGTTCACAAAGGAAGAAGAGCTATGCCACCAAGTCGCACCTTAAGCCTTGAAATTACACATAGGTCATACGTTTGCATCTGGCTTACTGTGCAAGATGTTTTTCCTCTGTCGCAGTTTAAAATATACATCCAAGAATGTTCAAACAACATGATGCCCTTGCGAAGAAGGATGAGGAAAACCAAGGGAAGCAGGAAATTAAATCAAGAGAAGATTAAGTAAATAAAGTTACCCTATCTGCAAACAGGCTCTCCTTTTTATTTGTCTTAAAGAGTGCTAATTGAAATTCCTCCTGCAGAACAATACAAAAGCAGAAATTAGAGAGCATCAAACTACAAGCAAAGAAGCTCACATTAAAATGTTGATATAATTTGGAATAAAATGACACTTCCCCCCTAAAGTCGCCCATTATAAGGTTAAAGCAACAAAAAACTGGACATGATTGGAGTCTTTCTGAAACAGGTCAGAAATAGATGCATCATTACCTTGTTGATCAGCCCGTCATCAACTACAGCACTGCTGATCTTCTTGAAAAGTTCATATAATGCTTCTATTTCACTCACGCTAACTGAAATTGAGAATGAAAGGAGAACTCATTTCCAGGATCAACAAAAAGATTTTATATTCAGCAGTTGATTTGGTAATGAGGCGAGCATTTGAAACAGGAGAGTAACCATTTGATTTATCAGTATTTATCTTCTAGGTGAAAGATACACAAACACACACAGATATATATACAGAGAGAGACAGAGACAGAGACAGACGGAGAGATGGAGAGACAGAGAGACGGAGTACAAGAAGAAAAAAATTTCTAGGATGTGGCTCAATCTTATTTAAGCTGTAATTACATTGATTCAAAGGAGGGATTAGCATAATCCTCTACAAATTGCAGCATATATAAAAGTAGATCGATAAATCATGGATGATAAATGAGTCATACATGCATCTTCAATTTCAGAACATTCGGGACACTGCTTCCATAATCTTTCACTAATAACATGCTAAATGCATCTCATTTCAAATGAACAGACAAGAACCCAGCCAAGTACAAAAGGCACACAGAAACATGGGATAAGAGAGAGACAGAGAGGTAACTTTGTCAAGAGCACAGTGCCAATGGCAAAAGCAAATGAATACAAAATCAAAGAACTGGCTCAATAATTAGCTTTTGAGAAAAATAGGCAACGGTCTTTCCGCAAGTTCAACTATGGAAACCTTGTAACAACTTCTCCTTCCTCTAAACCATAAGGTCTAGTGGACTTCTCATGACGTTATCAGTGGCCTACGTTGAGAGAAGTCTAATGAACGATACAGACTAAAATCAAACACTTACAACTTGAATGAGGCAATTACAACAAACAGAGCTTCCAGAGGCAATCATCGGGGTATACAGAAGGAAAACTTGAAAGGAAACATAAACCCTTCAGGGGGAACAACCATTAGCTACTTCGTTGTAACACAATCTATGCACTGCCCGACTTGCACTGTTATTTGATTCAATCTAGATTATGGAATTTGCTGAACAAAGCTAAAGAATCATTAATCAATAAGGATTAAGACCGGCTAGGAAGGGCATTATAAACATAAGGAAAAGTGATTCTGTGATCTATTAGCTTTCGAAGTCAAAGGACATACAGACTGTCTCCCTTGCCAGAGCTTCTGGGTTTTCCAGACCTCGAGGTCGCTTTTCTGCATCACAACAACTTGCAACAGCGGCACAAAAATGCTTGATTCCGTCTAGGCACTGCACCATGATCTTGTACAGTCATCAAACCACCCCATACCTGCGAAAAGAGAAATCACCATTGATAGAATCAACATGTCCAGCTACCCCAGACTGCTCATGAATGTAAAAGATGGTTAAATATAGACTTCAGCATAGAATATCCAATCACCTGGACAAAAAACGTTACTTATTCCGAAATACCAATCAGTACTTTGTTATTTCAACACATTACATGTATTCGTAATGAAAATACACCTTCCATGAATTCCAGAGACAACACATGCATAACAATAGAAACCCTTCAAGATGAACTTTCCAAAGGTTATCTTCCGAGCAGAGAAGACATATTGTTCATGCATAGAATATAAGAGTGTATGTGCCAACACGGGAATAAGTAGACAGAATCAAGCAAAGAAAACATAAGCAAAAACACTAAACCCTCAATATGCATCGATAAATAACGGTATGCTACGGCATAGGCATCCAAAAAGAGACCCTATCATCAAAGCTCAACCTAAATAAACGAATCCCGAAGCTTACGATATCCGCCAGGAATCAGCTTCGCAGGCTCCTAAGTAAAATCTTTTCCACGACATATTAGCAGCCAAATGGTTCACTACAACCCTCGATCAATATTGCTGACATAAAAATGTCAGGCGCCTTCATGGTATATGCACATAAATGACGCAAATTGCAAATTAAGCTCGCATCGCCACAACATACCCATTACATAAAAACGATACCCAGAACGAAATTCATCGATTCTGAGAATAGACACGTCGAAAACGTTCGATGGGGTGTCGCAGAAGACGCCAAACTACCAAACTAACACCTGCCCAGAATCGCGAGGTAGGAAATGCAAAGCTGCCCGCAAGGCGAGCAACCAGGGGCAACGAACGTCGATCGAAACGGCATTTAAAAATCGACCCACGAACGCAAACATCTAGGGCTCTCGACAAAATCAATCCTCCTGAACCAGGAAGAAAAGGGGAAGAATTCTTCGTCTCACCTTTTCAGAAAATCAACAAGAGGAGAGAAGGCGAAGGCGGAGGCGAACAGTGGAGATTTGGGGACATTGTCTGTGACTGATACTGTTCCTGGAGATGGGGTTGGCTTTATGTTTTTCTTTTCTTTTTTTCCTCTGTTCTCTTCTTGGGGTCGCAGCACGTCTATCCGATGATTGCGACTGAATAAATTATTGAAGTAAATCGACAGAGCATTATTTTAAAGGAGATTATGCAAAGTACGAATTTGCCACAGACCTGGAGGCAGGAAAAAAAGGAACAAAAATGAGAGAAAAAAACAGGGGAACTTTGGAGGGATTTGCTTCTTTTCTATGAACACACAGAGAGAACAGATTTCAATGGGGGGATGGAGGGTCAGGAAATGGAGAGAGAAACGCAGTGGAGGGGGATTTGACAGAGTGTTTTCTGTGCACGCGACCGTCTCAGGAAAACTAGTTTTAGTTTTAGGACCAGGGCAGGTGATGATTGGTTGTTGCCATTTATTGCACCAAATTGCAGCTTTTTTCAGTGGGGAAATCCTCAATTTTGATGAATTACAGGTGCAAAAGTTTTACAGATTAGAACCCAATTGCAGGATCCAGCCTTTAACTTGTGAGAACAGTAGATTTTTGTTTTAGCAGGGGGGGCAAAGAGAGAGAGGATTGTAGGATTTCATGTTGTAATTTCTGCTCTTGCCTTCTGATGGCTAAGATTTGCACAACTTCAGTAATGTTGTATCTGACTGATTTTGTTTTCTCATTATCTGCAGAGGTATGTTTAAAGGAGCCTAGTGATCAAATCTAATCAGGCCTTTGCTCTTTGATGATAGCAAACAACGAGGTGAATCATCTGATCATTAGAAGAGACACGGAATGAAAGATAGTTCGTGGTTTAATCCTCACAAGTACATGGAAACCATTCGGTTCGTGTACATCAAACAAGACTTCCATCGAAGGGGCATATTTATAAAAAAAAATTATCTTTTCAATCAAGAAATAAAAATTATGCCAAAATTATACTGTGAATATATGTTTCAACGATTAATTATTCTGAAAAAAAAATCGCGGGAGTTTCGGATTTAAAAAAAATCAAAGTACATGAATTATGTAAAATTCAAATTAAACATGAAAGGAAGAGTAAGAATCACTCCAAACCGTCCTAAAATAACTTAAAAGTGAGTTCGTTCAATCATTCTGAGGTTCAAAATTATAGTATTGAGATCATGCTGACTTCCTCTCCCCAATCTAATCAGACAAGCCATGCCATTCGAGTTTCTCGAAGTCGAAAAGGAACCATTCTCGTTGTTGAGCTGTGTCGATAATCAGTCTCTGATATAGCTTCCACGACAAAAGGGTCGCTGCCCTCAGAACCGGATTGATTTGTGTTCTGATTGAAACTTCCGTGGTCTGCATTCTTATGGATAAGATAAATCATGCATGACAAATCATCAGGAAAAGAGTGACTAATAATCACGTCCCTTCAACTTTGTTCCAGAAGGTACAAAAGCCACGTCCCTTTCCAGACAATCAAGATGATCGCTTTAAACAAGGTCTGAGCTTTCATGATTGTCATGCTTGTATTAGTCACTGAATTAGGCATGATTCCACTCTTATGGGCACCCACCTTCAGTCAAGAAAGTTTTTCCCCCCAAGTCCCCTACAATGGCGTTTGATGAAAAATGCAAAATGGAGTTCACTTGCCACTATGACTCTGTCCCGCAAAAAGTTCACTCCTGAATCATCGCCTCTAGCAGCAGCTCCTCCAGGGAATGTTACCATTAGCATATTAGCTTCCCTCGAGTACTCTTGGCTCCACTCACGGTTTCAGCAATGTCACTCTCACAATACTATCCATGAAATTTATCATGTCATTCGGAGCTCATCCTAGACAGACATCCTTGCTCTGAGGTTCAAATTCTGTGACCGAAAGAGTCTATGCTCTCATTGATGCAACACCAGCACTCCCTTTCGATCAGATCAGGATTTATAATTTCACGATGAAAACTGGCATGCCCAAATAAGTTTTCCATAGTATTGAAAGAAGGAAAGAAATTGGCGCAACAAGCATCTCCATCATCTTTATATCACACGTTTGATCCGCAAAGTCATGAATGAGAAAAACATGAAACTTGGCGGTTAAAAAGAAGGTAAAGGAAACGAATGCTTGTAGCTGTCAGTTCAACATGTCCTAGAAGTATGATCTATAGGAAGAGGTTGTCAATATATATTACCACTGAAAAAATTTACCCCTTGGCGACATAGTTTGACGCACACTTCTCGACATCTCAATGGGCTAGGAGGTTCAGAAAACACAATGCGTCACTATAAAGTACAACAAAATCCCTGTCCCATACCGGAAAAGAAATACCCCATCAAGTCAGACATGCATTTTTTCCATGATGAAGCATCTGATGCACAAGAACTTATACCAGCCTCCATGCACAGCTTCTCTGGGATTTCTATAAGCGCCAGATTAATTTCCCCGAGATGGCTTAGAATAATTAGTCACCAAATAAATCCTCGTCATTATCGCCATCTACAAGGCTCGAATTGGATGATTCACTGACAGGCTTTTCCTGGTGATCCTTGGTTGTGGAAGCAGGGACACTACTACTCAAGGAAGAGTTTGCCCAAGAAGATCCCACTTTACCCAAAAAAGTTTCACCATAGAGGTCATCATACATCCCAACCTTCTGAGGCTTTCTCACCTTGTCCAAGGCTTGTTTAAGTCTGTCAGTCACACCTTTCTGGGCATTGTCTTCTTTCGTGGAAGACTGTTCCTTTCCCTTTGGAATTATGACTGTCTGTACAAGGGATTCATACTTCCCCACAAGACTTCCTTCTTTGACACCAATTGGACCAGGTTCAGTTTCCACATCAACACCATCGGATATCCCAACTACTTCGACCAGCTCTCCTCCAGCTTGATCCCTAAATGCCACTCGCATATTCCTAGCTTTCTTAACAGCTCTCTCCGATTGATCTCTGTCCTTTCCATCTGATGATAATCTGGAGCCACTGGATTGAGATGCCCTGTTCGCCTTACCAAGACCATAACGATTTATTAGGGTGTTATAAGCCACAACAGCTTCTTCATCTGAAGGATCAGGAGGAGGTGGTAAATTTATCTCTGTGGGTAGTGGAGTTGGAGGGAAGAGAGCTGCATTGTTCTTTCTTAAAATGTAGCTCCTTGTTGATGCAGCGAACCTCAAAGACTGCCCCACTTCAAGCTCAACAGGGGTATCTTTGGTCAACCGCTCATTCGCAACGAACGTTCCATGTGCAGATCCCAGATCAATTACATATACGCTGTCAAACAGAACAAGAATTTCAATCCTCATGGTTCAAAGTTGATAAAATCAAGAAGCAGCCATCTGCAATTTCTGTTTCTTTCCAGAGATATGTAAAAAAGACATGGCTTTAGCAAAATGAGGTCAGCCATCAGGTCATATGAAATCACAAAGGATTACCGAGATGGTGAAGGCAGACTGGTCAAAATTTGGAGGTAAACCTTGAATTGCTAACACTTCAAGTGAATGAATTGATATAAAAAGAGCCAAGCCCCAACTCTGCATTTCAAACCAATATGAACTAAGCACATATCACTGTATCCAGATCTTTATCCCTCTTTTACATGTAATCTTCAAGCACTTCCTTCTACATACAGTTTTTAGTGTTCTTCACACTGTATTTGTACTCTCCTTCAAGTGCATTGGTTGATGTCAACTGTGCAAATGTTGGAAACAGGAATTACCAAGCCCTTCTTTTCTGAATGCAAGCCCAGCCATTTCACATCATTTCGCAAGGCTAATTTTCCATTACCAGTTTCCACAGCAAAGCATAGGTAGGAAATTTCAAACTTTTTAGTAGACAAGCCCCTTAAATATAAGTTTTCCTTCAAGTAGAACTTCTATAGATTTAATTTCCAATCAACAAAAGAAAATCAAACTACTTATATCTTATCCCCTGCATTCTTGTGCAGTGTGCAAATATCAGAAATTGTCAGATTTATGCATCAAAAGAAAACAAACTACAAAAAGGGCATGCAAGGGTGACAAAAGATTGCCACCATTTGTCACCACCGTGTTCACATGACTTAGTGTACAGCAATCATTCTACCATATTATCAATACAATACTCTCATCATAGAACCACGTTTAAAGTGACAGAGAAACTACCATACAGCTGCAAGGTTGTACCTCCAGTGAGATTAAGAAATCTACCTTCCATTTTTGTGAGGAACAACTGCAGCATGCTGGCGGGAAACAGACTGGTGGTCAAGCACAAAATCACAAGTCTGAAACTGCCTCCCAAAGATGTGCCTCCGCTTGTCCAAATTAATCCTATCAAGAACCTCGCCATCCTTCAAAACCTCGAGATAGTATACGCCCGGTCGTGGCTCGATTGCCCAATCAGGGGGCTGCCAAGTTGACTGACCCCCTCCTACCTGAGTCACCTGCTGAGGCTGGCCCACCAATGGCGCAGCCTCCGGTGCAACAACTCTTTGAGAGACATGGGCCTGGTTCTGAAGCTGGTTTGGCTTGTTATAGGCTTGAGATTGTGTGTATTGCACAGGAGTATGATTAGGCACTCTTGAGCTGGAATGGTTAGTGGTACTGGCAGCAGAATTAGAAGTGACCGAAAACGGTTCCAAGGACTGAGCTTTCTTAAATCGATCCAGACCCGATCTCCCATACATTATTCACTTCATACGATTAACTCGCGTTCAGCACGAACTTAAATCACATAAGATGCACCAAATTGCACAACTGCACCCTATCAAATCCTAATCTCACCTAGCAAAGCACCCAGGTTAAATCTACACACCCACTCTCCTCAAAACCCCTACGCTTCACGTGAACACAAGGGAATGCTCTGCAAAAGCCTTATTCAGCTGCAAAACAACAATCAGAAAAGCAACACACAGAAGAATTAGAAGCAAGGAGCTCTTATTTTACCCCCAAGAATCACAATAACGAGCCGACACGTTACGAATTTTCCAAAAATCAACCATTTAACAACACATAGAACCTAACTTCGACTCAAAAGACAGCAACAGTTCCTCCATCATTCAACCCATCAAATTCTTCACCCTCTTTCCTGAAATTTCTCACGATTCACACACTCAAATCAACAAGCGCAGGCAGACCCGTTAACTAATTCAGCTGCCATATTCACGGCAACTGCTCCACAGACACTGAACACCGTACCCAGTACTTCAACTCAAAAGACAGCAACAATTCCTCCATCATTCAACCCATCAAATTCTTCACCCTTTTTCTTGAAATTTCTCACGATTCACACACTCAAATCAACAAGCGCGGCAGACCCATTAACTAATTCAGCTGCCATATTCACGGCAACTGCTCCACAGACACTGAACACCGTACCCAGTCAAGTAAATGGAGGCGGGTCTCCAAGAACCGACAAATTAATCCAGTTTAAGCGGATCCCCATTCGGGCAAAGGGCGAAACGACAACCTACGCGACAAGTGCTCGAGAAGGAAGACGATTGAAGCAGAGGACCCACACTCACCTTAGGGTTTCCTCGAGTGCGCCCGAGCTCGACAGTGGCGTCTCCGTTGGCAAGGGAACGGCGGAATGCGTTCATTGGGCGTCTGCCGATTCTGCAAGGCAAAGCGAATGCACAGTGGAACGTGACGTTTATTCAATTTTCGGAATTATCCCATAATTATAATATTTATTCGGTTTTGCAAATCATAATTTGAAAAATTAAGAGGTTAAACTGCTTCGTGAGGCCTCGTGCGGACCTCGGCATCCCTCGGACGTTAAACATATGGAGGATATTCTCTCCTCCCGGGGAAGAAAAAATTCAAGGAGAAATTAGGGTATTGGGCGTGCAGGCACCGACATATTAAAACAAAGAATACAGTCATGTTAACTCGGCAAGTATGTACAACTTGGACAGGAGGGGCGGCCACAATCGGAACTTCGGCACCTGTTCTTTGGTGAGGAAACCTAAGATCGCCAAGGATCCAAGGAGTACCCCAATTACAATATTCAGTTTTGTAAATCATAAATTGGAATATTGTAAACTCATCTCTGAGTTATAAATATATGTTTGTGATGTAGCAGAAGTAGAGTAAAAATTTTGAATTTCTTGGGTACTAAAACAGTTAACTTATATAAAGACATTAATTTAACCATCGTGGTGATTAGTCCGATAACATAAGGTTTGCTCGTGAGTGATTTGAGCTCCATGGTCGCTGGGTTCGAATCCTCGGTACCTCTTGGGCATCGAGAAGCCTTGGTTCGTACACGCCGTGAGTTCGACCATGCCACAACGCGAGATAATCTCAACTTTACTCCCACTAGCACCACAAAGCGAGCAGTACTTATCGCGAGTGTCCTATGATAATGCCCAGAAGGTCACCGATACTAATAGCCATCTTACTCTTTTCACTGGTAAAAAAAAGATACATGGTTGCGTTTGTTTTACTGAAAATTTCATGATAAGGAAAAATAATTTGCATAGAAATCATGTTCAAGAAAAGTAGTTAGCTTTCATTTGTTTTATGGTTTTGGAAAAGTGAATTATTTCTTGCTAGAAAGGGAAGTCGTTTTCCTCCACTCTTGAACTTCTTGTTTTCAATCAATGGAAAACGTTTTTTTATAGATCGATTAGTTTTCCGTCATCAAAACACCGAAAAGTCGAAAAACAATTTCCCAAATAACAGTTTTCCTTCAAACAAATAGACCCATAATTCAATATTTAGATACTATAATAGTTTGAGCGGTTTTAGGGGATCTATATTACCGAAAAGAATTTATGTTCTGTGAGGAGCATATAAGAACAAATGGATATATATATAACAAGATGTATTTCATAAATAACAAGATTTCAAAGTTAAATGAAGTGATTAAGGGGGGGAAATATTGTAACAAATTGGAAAATACGAATTTGATTTATCCACCAATTATCCAACTGCATTTATCGCAAAATTTTAAAAGCAAGATATACGGTCAAAGAAATTTCGTCCAAATTTTAATCGACAACTATGTTGTACCAACACCACCCGCCGTGGCAGGTACTGGAAAGACTGCACTCTTCCACTCGCAAAGGTTGAGTGTTCGAATCCCGAGCGCCGCAGGTGACTTGCCGTGCACGTGTGTGGTGGCTAGCACGTGTCGCCCTGAGTTACTCCCATTTGTCGCCGTGCGGGGTTCCCGAGTTACAAAAAAAAAAAAAAATTATGTTGTACCACCACCCGCCCGGGTGGCGCTGCTGGAGCGCGCACTCTTCCTCTCGCAAAGGTTGAGTGTTCGAATCCGGATGCCGCAGGTGACTTAACCGGTGCACGTGTGTGGTGGAGACGTGTCGCCCTGGGTTTACCTCCCGGTTGTCGGCCGTGCGGGGTTCCCTGGGTCACCAAAACAAACTATGTTGTACCCTTGCTTGTAAGTTTAATAGTTAGTTTGGTGCACAACCCACATACATGAGAGAGAAATGACTATTGAATCTAATCAAACAGACAACAGTTCTCGATTGTATAATTGATGAAATTCGATGGATAAGATGTACCGACAAAATCTGCTTACAAGTGATATCTCGTGTTAACTTTTCCTTTCTTTTTTTTCATATATAAACATAACAAACAAAGCGAGACAAATGTGACATATATATATGTAGAATCCACCATGCTCAAAATCAAGAAATTAGACAACTTCTAAACTCATGTCCCTCACTTGATCAAAGGCAAGCAAATTGACCTAGACCTAGAGGGATTTGTGAGGAGCGACTCCTTTCACACCTTGGCCTAAAGCTTTTAGCAGCAATCTCACAGACCAGTAATACAAAGCCAAAATAGCAAAATTATAATGACAGACAGAGTGTGTGATCTATGCCATGGTGGCTTGATTTGCAACAGACAATCACATTTCCAAAATTGATACTTATTTTAACCCATCAATGTATTATAGCATTCAGTACAAAAGTTCCAAAGGTACATAAAAATTGTTCGGGATGCACCTTTATCATTCATCATTCCCTTATCCACAGAGCATAAACCAGTATAAACAACCACAATTAGACTTGAAGTGGTATGCAAAAACTGAACAAAAGATCGGCAACATGAACGCCAAGCAAGCCCAATCCTACTTGAACGGTAGACGACTATATGAATCCTTTTACATTATTGAGCTCAACTCTGTAACAAGTCTTGTGTGACAGAAAGAAAGTGACTACCAAATCAATAGAAGTCACGAGTCCCAGATGGAAATTGTTCTTTCTTTGCACACTATGCAGATATTGGCAAAGAACTCAAACATAGTTTTTCACTCCAATGCAAAGAGAGATGCAAATCCTTTTGCTCTTACAATTCCAAACGTTTCAAATATCTCCAATAAATGTCAACTCAATGTCGCATTTCATATCGGCCATCGGTGAAAGCCAACTGCATTACTAAACAATCGCTACAAGGAATAACACCTTCCCACGATACAATCGGATTTTATATACAGTTCACTTTTCCTTCTGATATTTCGCCTTTTACAGAAAGAGGAAAATGAGGCTGCTTTCTCGCATTCCCTACTGTTTACAATCTCCTCACGCAAATGAGTACAAAGCCAACACTACGTTTCAAGTGCACATCTAAGCAGAGGTATTGCCATTCACTAAGATGGATCCATCGGTCGCCAACTCACACTTGGACGTCATGGATAATCCTAGATGAAAGTGAGTTTCAACTGGCTCATGAGTGTCATTATCTGCCCGCTTCTATCACAAGTTATGGTCTACACAAGCATCTGGATGAATCAAAGAATGCTCAAGCTAAATTTGTCACTGAGACACGTTTCATATACTCCTCAATGCTGTTTCCTTCACATCTCGGGAATACCCTGAATACTTAGCCTAACTGGATAACAGAACCGGAGCAAACGAGGTTATTCACAGAGGAGTATCAGCCTCGTCTCGGGCAAGCTAAAGGTTATAAAGCCACAATATTGCAAAGATCCCCATACTATCTCGAGGTGAATTCCTTCTCAATGACCCCAAACATTACCTTCAGGCGATCTTGCAGATTCAAGAGAATGTTCTTCGTAATCCTCTTCTGATGCCTACTACTTTTCAGCCACGCCATCCCAAAAAATACCTTTACGCTGCACTCCTTAGGTCGTGAAGGCGCATCTTCAATCTGGTACCTAAGGTGAAGCTGAAAGCACAGTACTACTTAGGAAGCCAGAAAATTTACAGATTCAAAAGAAAATAAAGGAAAATGGGAAAATATAGTAAAAAATGAGGTAGAATCAATACATTGAAATAGTCACCAAGTGGGACTGCATGGAGAGTCATAACCTCTTCAACAAGCCAACCATCTCTATCCGGAAGAGCAGATTTTTGCTGAGTACTTGTGACCTCCCCTCTATATCGGGAAATACGCTTATCGAATCTGTAATATATTTGTCTCTCATATATATCCGGCTTCTCCGACTCCCACGGGGTATACGAATAATTAAGACAACCAGCCTTCTCCATAAACTTCCGCTCCAAATCCTCACCGCCAAAAACTTCCATGAAGAAGTTGGTCTGACATGGCCAAAGGAGTTATTGGACAATTTTTTTTTCTTTTTATGATTAAGAAGCCCATCTTAATTAGTAAATCGAGGGCGTATGCTATAAAAAGTACTCGAGGCAAAAGAATACTGTTTGAAAGTCCATTTTCTAATGCACTTTTGAAAAGCTGATAAGGGAATGGGTATCTTACAGGAACAGGGAGGACGGAAGAATAGACTTCAGACAAGCTAACATCCTCAAGGCCCAAGAAGGACCCACTCTCTTCCGTCATGAGGTTTCTAGCTTCAGATTCTTCTTCGATGAGTTGAACCTTCTGCTCTGGAGTCAAAGACCTAGCCTTCCAAAGAGCCATAATTGTCCTGGACATAGTACGCATGTTTTAGTCTTTTCATAAGCCCAATTATTTGATGCCCCTTCTCTGATTGTCCTATGCCATTTTGGCAATTAAGCAGAGACCTAACGACAATCACGCTAGATTTATGGTAAGAAATCGCCACCAGACCCACCAACCGTTTACAACTTCAACCATGCACAGAAAGCTTCCAAAGGAATATTAACTCACTGATTACCTGTGTGCAACATTGAAAGAAACAAAAGACTGAAAGTGGAACTTCAGCCTGCCTTCCTCATCCTGCGTCTTTGCCCCATGTCTTGCTTCCATACCTTTGCCTCGCCAAAGAGTCATGACCACGATCGGACTACCCATCGACGAAAGAGTAGGAGACAAGACTTGAATATCTTCTATGTCCTCCCAGAGGAAAAAGAATTTGGTCTTCTGCCCAAACAGATTTGCGTGGAAGCCAATAATCCGTGCCGACAAAAAAAGGCGTCCCTGTGGAAGAGTAACCTCAAACATGAGATGCCAACCCCAATATGCCTAAAACCCTCATGAACATTCTCAAAATAATTGTTCATTCTTTTGTTTTTGGCTATGTAATTGAACAGAATTGAAATGGTTGAAACTGGACAGTATAGAAAATACAGTCAGTGTGGATGTATTAACACCGAATGATAAAAAGCTAAACAAGCACCTGGAGAGGCATTTTGCGTTTCAAGTGACAAGTGAAATCATTGATGAGAAATTCCTCAGGTGGAAGAGCAAAAAGCTTCTGAAAAGCGGAATTTGTTTGCGGAGACCTTATATTTATCTGCATTATTCATTATCACAATAATTATGCTGTTAGTACGACTATAGCATACAGAGACTAATAAGAACCATACAATGATTGTCCCAAGAGAAGTAGGAAAACCAGTGACTTACCTTCTTGCCCACCTCTTTCTCCATCTTAGATATATACTCTTTCGCCACATTGCTACCTCTTGTATTGTCTAAGAAGATCCTCAAGTGCAGCTTAGACTGGCATGCCTGAGCTAGCTTTCCTTGAAGAGAAACCCACACATCAGCTAGGTCTGATATGTTGTTCCTCACGAAATTGATTTCGGCATGTCCTAAAGATGTAGCTTCATCAAAAGGTCCATCAAAATCGAAAACCTCCACATCTAGCACAGAAGGAGGATCCTCCATGGCATCAAATTCAAATATTTCTGCACAATCCAGAGGGCCAAAGCAAGACCATTGAAATGGAGATTGGTGTCGAGAAAAAAGTAAGATAAATTATCTGTAATCCAGCAAATATGCATGATGAAACTAGTAGCTCTACGGAAGATGCTAATTTAATGAAGTTAAGGGATTCTGAGAAATTCACCATTCCACAGAGGATCAGTTTTCTGAAACTTTATTGAACTCGTTCTCGTCTTGCCATTACAGGTAAAGACAACATATGGGTCAGAGGAACTGCTCGAGTCAACAGCTGCTACGCTACTTCCTTCAATCAAAGCAACGGTTAGCAACCATCCATCACCTTGAGCTTTGACTCCATGATCGCTACCTAGAGTTGAAAGGGTAGTAGGGAATTTAGATTTCGCCGCAGAAAAGTTCACCTAAATTTACGCACAATTTCTGGAGAGTTGGTTGATAGCAAGGAATTCTGAGCTTACAGTTCTCTTGATGGATAGAGTACATGAGCAAGCATCAAAACCATGTCTTTTTAAGAGTCAAACAAAAAGCTAGCATAGAGCGATACATGAAGATTAACAAAGTACCGATATGAATCTCAGAGCACCATTCAAAATACTTGACATGAGGATCCCATTTACCACAAACTAGAAGACCACAGTTACATGGAAGAGGGTGCTGCATACACTAAGCTACAGGCAAAAAGAGTAAACCAGCTTCAGATAATACCTTTCTGCATTCTGGCCTGCATGAAGTGTGAAATCAACCCCAGGACCCGCTCAGCTTGGAGAACCAGTATACCACACACAATGACTTCACCAATAGAATCTGGCAGATCTAGCCCAACAAACTCCAGCCCTTGAATTGCGCTTGGTGTGGCAAGCCATAGGTGAACAAGCACATACAATCCCATGACAAAAGTAGATAGCACAATAAAATTGGCAAAGTATTGCACAGCGAGCTTCCAATCTGATTGAGGCTCTGCCTGCAAAGAGGCCAAAATCTGTTCCTTGTTGGACCCGATGTCCTTCGAATCCACCGGCTTAACCGTCTGATTAAGTAAGCTAGCATACTGCTCGAAACTGTCCTTGAGACCCTGCCGAGCTCCATTTTCTATCATACCTTTCATCATCGTACTCTGCAGAAAATTCATCCTCCACGATATGACCAATCGTGAGGATTGTTCTCCTGATGGCAGCTCAGGCCCGGGAGTAATGCAATAGAGCAACTCGACTTTGAAGGTACTCCCGTACATGACATCCGGAGTGCTTACACTTGCTAAAACAGCATATACCTTTCCGTCAGCCTTCAAGTAAATTTGCTCCTCAGTGGCTTTGACGGCTTTGATCAATTTTGTTGCTGCCTTAATGTAAGTAATGACTCTCTTCAAGGTCTCTCCACCATTCTCGAACTTCCACTGCCCGAGTTGCAGTTCTGTTGTTCCTTGAAGATCAGCCACTGATCTTGGAAAAGAGGAATCGAGAGAGAAAAGCATTGTATTCAGGTCAGATGGTGCAATGACGCATAGCTGGTCCAAAAGTACTCCTCCCGGTAAATTGCTCGGAGTTTCGCCTTCTTGCTCTCGAGACTCCATTATTTTAATCAACTCTTCAAAGGAACCAGAAGAAAACTGGTCGTCATCTTGGCTGTCAGAAGATTCAGGCCCAGAAGCTTCAGGTAGTTCCGGCAAGTCAATGCCCCTATTTGAGGCCACTGATGATGTGTCTGCACCCTTGTTGAACATCTGTGCAAGACGACCAGCAAAAGTTTTCTGAGAACAGGACTTCTCTTCCTTTGAGGACGAAAACTCGTCTCGCATGGGTGAGGCTCTTGGTGAGCCACTGAGAGATCCTGCAGGCGATTCCACCATTAAGTCAGCATGCCTTTTCAAGACAGGGACAACTTCTCCTTCATTGCCATTCATCTCCGAGAACGCGCTACTTTCTGAGAAATATATAGCTAGCTGTATTTCACCTGCCAGGAATGAAAAGGAGGGGATCCAAAGAGGTGAGCCGCCATTCTTTTTCTCAATAGTCAGATGAATTTAAAAAATTTATCCAGTGAAACATGCAATAAATATCCCCACAAAAGCTTCTACAACCATGATTATCTAAATCACATTTCTAAGTAAAGGGTCCATAAAATCACTCCGTCAAATCGGATCGTTAAATCGTAAGGTTTCATGAACTTTAAAATGGTATTTAAAAAATAAATGCTCTCACATTCATAGGTAACTTGAACAAGAATACGGTGAACAAAAAAAATTACCATTGAGACAAGCAAAAGCATCCCACTCTAACACTACAGGAAATAATCTGTAACATGAGTCCTCTGAAGTGTAATATAATCTGGAAATTTGACATGCGAAGTGCATGCCCAGGAACCCAAAGTTTCTAAATCAATCGACCAGACTGAAGAAAAAACCGAACAAGGACATACTTATTCAGCAAAGCTTGCGACTCTTTTTACATTAGAGAGAGAGACAGAGAGAGAGGCATTCGTTCTATGATCAAGATATGAAAGAACAGGCGTGCCACCATCTAGATGCTAGTGAAGAATTGTAACTGAGTCACCATTATCATGATCTCATTCGACTTGTAGAATGAGAAAAAGGGCAAAGCCCCCGGACAAGATTTCATTGATTGGCAATACTTTGAATTGGTCGATTTTGTCTTAGCATTACAATGGCTACTTTATTCTACAAAAAATAATCTTGCACTGTCACCAAACCTACAAACTCAATTTGGTTAAATTTGCTGATCTTGAACAATTTTGGTGAAAGATTTTATGGAGTTCACGACCTGACTAGCGAACCCACACCGTTCCCAATGCAGACTACGATTTTTAGGCATCTTATATCGCTTTGTGCACTTAAAATCACAAACAATTCAAGTCAAGTTTTGACATGCATTTTTTAATCATCTATAGCCAAATACAAAGTTTCAATTATTTAGGCATAACCGATAGAGTCAACAAACTAGACCAAGTTTGTTGGAAGTTCAAATTCAAAAATGCATAACAAAGTGAAAGCCAATCTTAGGCATTAGGTAGGAACCGCACAACTTAAACTCCTATCATGAACCTGATAATGTTCACTCACCTAACCTAAAGATAGCAACATATCTTCAGCATGTTCAAAAAGTGCCTCGATTAACGTCTGAGGTGATGATCATAGAGGTAGTGTATCTTCGCAAGTGGCACAAAATGCCAAGCTCTGACCATAAATTATGGGGCAGATCCACTCAAATACGCCACAATTAACATCAAACATTCTAATGAAACTCCATGATACGTACCGCATTCCTTATTCTTGGACTTCTTATTCTTCGGTTGCAGAGTATACCAAGCAGTGCCGAGAGAGCCATTTTCGGCATCGAAAACGCGTGAAACCGGGATCTTCAGTTGCCCGATGAAATCGTCATTGAAGTACCTGTCCTCATCCAAAACAGTGAGCACAAGCTCATCCTTCAAATCCTCAACCTTGAAGCTAAATTCGTCTCCCCAGCTCGGGTTCAAGCTCTTCTTCACTACCTTTGTCCTAAACCTGTGCCTTCCTAGCTGAAGCCGAACGTACGGATCACTAAACCCGTTCAGATCCATCGCCGGCACGTTCCTAGCTTCAATCACACGCACATAGAGCTTCATAGCTGATGCTGAATTCGAATTCCACTCAGGACCCAGAATTCTTCCGGACCCAAACCAGCAAGCACCCTCACAACCCAGAAGGAATCAAGAAGAAAAGAGGGAAACTTTCCTCTACCCAAATGCTTGATACGAACGAGCGAGTGATCCAGGAAGAAACGATCAAAGTCAACAAATAGTGAAGAGCCACGTAAGTCACACGGATTGAGTCGTGAAATGACAAGAACTTTACGTCACCGGAAAGAGCTCAAGAAAGGGACAGCGACCTCAGAACAATCGGCCCAATATCGATGCCAGCAACGAACACGTAATGCTGCAGAGACCCATGATCAGCCTCGAACGAAAGAGAACCAAAACATGGCCAGGCACGGCTCAATCCACCGACAAAGCTATCAAGAATTAACAGGGGAAGAAAACAGAGGAGACACCCGGGAGAGATCGAGAGATCACAAACAAATTTGGCAGCATCAGCAACAAGAAAAAAAACAAGAACGAGAATTGGTGTTGCGGGAGCAGATGAATCGAGGAGGGGGTGGGGAATTCAATAATATGAGGGTACGCCCAGAAACGGAAAGAGATTGGGGAGTCTGGACTCGAAAGCAAAAGGGAGGGGAGACTTTTCAAAGTCTTCCTGCTCTCCTCCCCCCCCCCCCACCTTTCGTTTTCAATCCGAAACTGCGCGTGATTTGGTGGACTTTTTGACCTTTGGTAAATTGTTGTTTTTTTAAGTCAGCTGAAAGATTGAAAATAATAAAATAGATTAGGGACAAGGTCACGAACGATGCCTAATCCCTCAATTTCTAACTTATTCAATATAATTCTTGAATTTAAATTAATTAAAAGACTACATTAAATATTTTCATATAGTTCAAAAGTTAAATTGGACATGTACCAAAAGTTCAGAGACAACATTGAATAAATTAAAAGTTTATGGATCATATTACATATTTAATTAATGTTCATGGACCATATTGAACAAATTGAAAATTCGGAATTCATGTTGCATGTTGATTCAAAGTTTATGGATTACGTGTGTGATTTTCTCAATAGAATAATGAGCTCACCATTGTTGGCCACGTCTGTGGAGGTGGTTCTTTCACACTAGGACGAAGACCCTTCCCTTTCCAATGTTTGACCATCATCCATGACGTTTGAAGATGGAGGTGCGCTCGGAGTGCCACCAATTCTTTTTTAACGTCTAATGTATTTGGATTTGGGTCAAATCAAAGTGTTCGATTTTATATATCGAATTGCATGTCGGGGAGCGTGGACATCTATCCGATCCTGACGACGAATGTGGGAGTAACTTTTCGGGAGCCGCTCCCCAATAGGATTGGTTATACGGGACACGGCCCATTTAAGTCGAAGTTGAAATTCTTCCCTCGTGGGAAGTGTTAAAGGTGAAGGCTTGGGTTTGTTTGGGGGTGAAGATGGAGAGACGTAGAAGGGGAAGATACAATTGAATTAGGTAGAGTGGGGTCGAAACATTGGTGGTAGGAGTTCGAGGATGTGATGTATATCTTTGTCGAAGATCTTTGAAGGGCGGGACGATCGCTCATGCCCATGTCATTCTCTTGATAAGGTCATCATGCATAACTTAAGGTACTCGACATCCGAGCTAAACAAGATGTGCAATCAATTATAATCGTATAATTTGCTATGATGCTCTTGTGAACGATTTACGGAAAGAAAGACACAAGCCCGTTATGTCCACGACTCTGGACACCACATGGGTTATCCTCGACCCCGATGGTCGCCATACAGAAAAAGAAAACTGGAATATGACATGATATGCAATGTTTAACTTGGATGACATGCTTTAGTTGTAGCTCAATGTTTTGGCTTGCTTAGTACTAATTGTCGTGTCCTGATGCTGGTTGACACAAATTACACAAACACAATTATTGTATCGTCGATATGACAAGTCAAATTACGAGAGCTTCAAATGTTTCAATAAAAATAAAAAAATAAAAATCACTCCAACAACTCGTTAGTAATGAACCTAATATATGCATGTATGTAGTGTATGTCTATTGTCTTGGCTTTTGGATACCAGAAATGGACAAATTGCAAAAGCTTTATCATTTTGAGTCAAGTCAACTTAGTGTTCAATTAAGAATTAACATTATCAAAGAGAGGGAGCCGAAACTCTTATGATGACCTCTGCAGTCTGTTATGATCCTGCCAGACGGGCTCCACGGAGGAGAAAATACCCTTTAGAAGTTTTACATCCCGATGATCTCGAAATCCGAACGAGAATCGAGATGAAATTTTTTAAGGACTTGCTTATGTCCAAATAAAACCTAATATATATTAGGTATGTAGTGTATGTCTATCGCCTTCAGCGTTTGGATACCGGAAATGGACAAATGGCAAAAGCTTTATCTTGTTGAGTCAAGTCAAAGGAACAATTTACAAGCCACGGGGATCCAACCATAGAACAGATGAGGACCACCACGAAGTCCAGACATGATTGAGATAATGGAAAGCAGCCCCCCACTTGGCATAAAAAGTGATTGAAAACGGTTGTCCCCAATATGCTCGGAACCTTCTGCATCATCTGCCTCAGCCCTTTTCTCAAAACCTAAAGGATTATGGTGTAACACGGTAGATTTGTAGAAGTGTATGTTTGACAGAAACGGAAACAGGAAGAACAGCAAAATAGTAAAAGTTGGATTAGTTGATTGAGAGACTTTTTACCTTTGTCGACAATCCAACGAAAAAGAAAGTTGGAAAGTCATTAAGTGGACGGAATGGCATGTTTGTAGTCCCATTTAGAACATGATAATGAGATGTTTCTCTCTATTGTTGGTGGCTATGAGATGATCTACCAATCTTTAAGCTTTAAGGAATTCTCGAGGCAACGATCAATGTACATAAACAGGTTTTTCTGGCCTTTTAACAGAGAGACGGGAATATCGACGACATCATTTCAATAGGTGAATCGAGATAGATAATCACACGACGCTGTCGAGCCACTCCCGCTAATGCGGGTCGAGGTCACTAGCCGTCACTCTCCGTGCAGTATCAAGCGATTGGATAATTGAGTTCAAGCCTAATACGTTGACGTAGATTGATGCCACTTTTCCATTGAAAAGGCCGGTACCTTTGTTCACTACGTATCCATTTAGTCCGCTACCCTTTTTCCCTCTTTTCTTGTCTGTCGATTCAAAAAGTAGTTTGTTTGCTTTTTGCCTTTTTCCTTATCACGCTGAACCCGATGAACAATCTTGCTTTTGGTTTCGACTTTTTGAAGCACGTTTGACAGATTCATGCAATAAGACAACCCTCTGCAAGATCCCGAAATCTCTGAAATTCAGCGCTGGAGAAAAGGGAACTATTTATGGCGTCACGACTCCGAGTGTGTTATAGGTTTCTGGTTTCGTCCAAGATCGGTATCGCTACCCTTGATGTGAATGATGAGGGTCATCCTACATTTGGGAGGATTAAGCACTGCATTGGCATAAAGTACGCATGAAGAGTTCTGAGTTACAAGGGAATTTCCCACACGGGAAAACTATGTTCATGCCCTGATACTCTACTGCAAACAGGCAATTCATAAGGGCTCTACATATAGAAACTAAGTGCGGACTTTTTCCTCGATGGACCGATTGATGAGATAAAAATTTCCGTTTTCACAGATTCGATCCGATCATAGGCAGCTGGTATTCATATGATATCGATTTCAAGTGTTGATCTGTTCTTGGGCATGACAGAAACCTATAAACGCACAGCTTTCTATACTTAAGCGTATGTCTTGGACTCTCAGTATCTTCATTTGTAAAGATACGGCAGTAACATTTGTCAAATACAAAGATGGAGTGGGACTATGATGAAGCTTAATTAGTGAAACGCTGCCATAAATAGGGAAGACCCATTTCATATCATTCATGAACTTGATTTCGGCATCGAATCGTGCTCAGGAATGGAAGAAGGATCATGTTTATTGTTTATATTTTGATCCTAGTACCATATATGGAACCTAAGCTGCGGCATACCTGAGAATATAAAGAGACGGTCATAGCGTACAAGGCTCAAATTTCATGTTCGCTAGCCAGCAACAATTAAAATCAAAACTCAAGATTTTTACTTAAATGCCAAAGCTGCGTCATCGTGAAATTGTTACAAGAATGGGATACAGGAAGACTCGTCTTCTCCCAATTACAATAACACAAATTAAAATTCCACGACAACTTGGAGTAGGAGAATGCTTGCAACGTCACACTTATATTGCTCGTCTGAAAAGGATTCTCTATTTCTGCCTCTTGTAGATTTTACCCAAGAAAGACTTGAGCACTGCTTGCACTGCTTTGCTCGGGTGTGCTTCAATGGAGGTCGTCAGCTTCTCATAACTTTTGCTCTCGTACTCCTCGAAGACGCCCTATTGAATTGGCATGGTAGGTAGCAGTAGGAAGAAATCAAGAGCAGTTCGGAAAGAATTAAAAGGAAAGGAACGAGATCACACAGATGCTGAGAGATGTTTCTTTATATAAATTTCAGAGAAGCATAGAATGAAAAGGTACAGTTTCTCATATGACAGCCATCAGTTGGTCCATGCTCATTATTACCAATTAGAGTGAAAAAAATATATAAGAACACCTGAAGATTGATCTCATGGTAGAGGGCTTTCACTTTCGCGACATTTGCGGGATCTGGTTTCCCATAGTTCTCCTGGTCATCATCAAACAACAATAAGAGAAAAGTTGCGGGCCGAAAAGAAAGCATCAAATAAGGAGGATCGCTGATCTTACCTCCAACAGTTTCTTCTGCTCCCCATTGCAGATTTCGAGTGCTTTAACAACCAACCATGAGCACTTAAAATCTTCTATATCTGTTCCGATCTGTAACCACAAAATTAAAATGATCAACCCATGAACAAAAGGATGAGACACAACCTTAATCCATTAGCTTGATGAGAGATCAGATACCCATAACTATGGACCTTACCTTACCAATGGTCTCGGGATTACCGAAGCAATCCAAATAATCATCCTACAATAGCAAAAATAATAATCATCAATAAGGACACAATACTTCGAATAGAAGGAAAATTTGCTAAAAGACTCTAATTAGCAACCTGTTGGAGAGGTTAGTTAATCATACGGAAGTCCGAAAAACAAACTGCAATTGTAGAATTCCAACCATGCTCCCTATCACATGCTACACCGCCGGAAGAAGCTAACTTAAGAACTTCCCCTAGATCCACATCTTGCCCTCGTGATCTACATTTACTGAGAAGGATGAATAGAAATTTTTAAGCATATTAAAAGAAATTACCTGGACTTGGAAGTAAGTCCCCATCTCAACAAGAATGTGCTTTACAGTAACATGCTTCTCTAAGTCCTCACCAGCCATCAGCAATGCACAGGCAACCTAAGCAAATTCAATGTGAACAAAAGGTGACTTAACAAAGAAGACTTGAGAGACAAGATGACGCCCAAATAAGAAAAAGACTCAAACAGGGCAGTTTAAGGAAAAGGAAAACCTAGCCATCACGGCAACACATCAATGTTCAATGCTTGCTTAAAGCGTCAGACAGAAAGATATAGCCAATGCAATAACAAACAAACCATAAGAAGGCTTTTTTACTCACTGGAAGATAGAATGAATAGTAGGCAGTTTTGTACTGAACAATGCGCCGATGACTGCACAACAACACAGTATATACATCAGAAAAGAAACAACAAAGTAAAGAATGGACAGATGGTGAAGGGCTGCATAGAAGGAACTAAAGAGGAACAAGAGAGAAGAACATGCATTTTGTAATGTTAGACAGACATTCCAATAATGAATATCATGTTGGCCTTGCATGTCACAGAAGGATGGGTGTACACAGCATGTGGTACGTTGGTTTAGTCCACTAATTATAAATCCAAAGGCATCCTTGGATGTTCATCCAATCCATGAGTTATTGATTATAGGCCAAAAAAACAGAAGTATCCTGAATAAACCCTCTTTTTATCTCCACACGTACAATTTAAATTCTATATTAATCTTGGAAAAGAAATAGATGCCATATTCCCTGAGGTAACCCGAATTTCTACACTATCAGATCTTTTTTTCCATTTTGAAACAGCTCCATTATCTTATTGACGCATTTGAACGATTGAAAAATGGCTCACTCACAGTGACAACGTGTATTTAGATAAATCCTTTTCTCCCTGGAGAGTGGTAATCAGGTCTATCATTTGGCCCGATGCCGTCTGAAACTCCACCTGGTAATAAAAATGAAACTCACAGATGAGTTTACCAAATCTCTGCGATTCGACCATCTCATCTAATGTAATTTAAGGAGTAAAAGGTACCTCATTGAACAAATCCAGCAGATCTACGTAGTAAGGCTTCCCACGGAAGTGATTCTTAAGGATTCGAGGAATATGATTGCGCAGTAGAACCCCATCATTTACTGCAATCAATCCAACCTACAATAAATTCATAACAAGTTAATCGCATCATCTACAGTGATAACCATATGTTCAGTCCAGGAAATTTGTCAAGACCAACAACCTTGGGCAATCTAAACCAGCAGGGTTGTCCACGGCGTGTATGAGAGCTGTCCATGATATCGTCAAGAACAAGAAAGTATGCCTGAAGCTGCACATGATAATCAAAGAGATATCAGATTGGAGTTTTGCTAGGCAGTCAATGAACCATGTGGACAAACCGTGAATAAGGTGCCTGTGCTAGGTGCCATGAACCTGGACTGACATAGAAGGATGTATGGAATCGGAATGGAGAAAAGATTGCTATGGCCATACCCATTCAATACACCAACCCAGAGCACTTGAAAGAAAAATTTCTTCTTCAGTCAGTTCCTTCCCTTCTTTCAACAATTTGTAGCTATCAATTACAGAGAGGCCCCGGTTCAGTTTACCTGAAAGAAACCAGTTCCATGTCAGATAAAACATCCCCGTCTACAAGACATTCTGGACACCGACATAATCCATGAAGCTAGTAATAGTAAATCTTCGATTGATATCATCGCAGTCAAACGGGGAATGCTATTTGCTCACCTCCGGGCACGTTGTAGTCCAGCATCTGAAATAACAAGCACAGAAAGAAAAACTTAAGTTAGGAAAAGAAAGACAAATAACATGATTTCAATCCAATCTTATTCAGTGAACTAAAAAAGAGAGAAATTAATTTGCGCAAACATTTGCGGTTGCAACTTTAGTCAGCATATTATTACGAGCTTCTTCTTTGAAATTAACAAAACATTCTAATGGCCCAAAAAAGAAAACAGCAAACTATCCAGCTTCCAGATCAGAAGATAATCATCAAACTCCCTATATCCGTGTGCTTAAATCACGACAAGGTTTGAATAGGAAGGTGCCTGGATTGTTCCCAACTGTCGGAGAAGTAACGTGGCGACGCCCCTGATTAAATTTTTAAATCGGACGCTATTTACCTAAATGCTTGTATCTGAATCTATTGCGCCATGATGAGTGACAAAATTTAAGTACATGAAGCTTCATAAGATACTTTCTATACAAACCATGCATGAGATTAGATCCTTTTAAATGGGTTTGAGCTGGGGTGACAAAGCATAGCTACGTTACCAATATGTTCCTGCGATCCCGACGGAAAACCTATGGCAAGTTATTAGATATGCACATGTATTGCCTAATATGACACTTCGTCAAGAGAGAGAGAAAGTTAGCGGTTTCATTTCTGGATAAGTGAAAGGTAGCGAATTAATCTACTCCGCGAAATCAGCAAACAACAGATCCTTACATTTGCACTGGCAATGAGAACAATATTAATTAATCTGCTCACAAGAGACCTTATTTCTATCCTGATATCGACACACAATCAACGCGATGGCTCCTAAAATTATCCTTGTAACTTTAGATGGAAGACACAGGGAAGAAGTCAGACATATTGTTGCAATAATGAAAACGATGCCAGAAGCAGCTCAGCTTTAAAAAGCTTAGAAAACCGGCATAGTTTCCGCTGATCAGTTCAGCCGGTAGCTCATTAAATCAGTTGAAAGACCCAATCTGTAAAAAAAAAAAAAAATCGCCCGCCTTTATGTTATCGAAAATCATGCATATCAAGATCATCTTCCCGTAGATAATCACAGATCAAAGTCCCCCCCCCCCCATTGCCACCAACAACAGCTCAAGATATGAACACCAATTCAGCTCCTTGAGGCTCAGCACAAAAGACCCATCTCAAAATCGTTCTCACCACCACATTTATAATTCGGATGCTACCCATATATACTCCATCCGGGCGACCGAAACCAGGATCGAACATCGCAAAAGAGCACGGCATTACCACGGCAACCGACACAACAAGTCGCCGGCAATCGGGTCGCCACGAGCAGCGCGAGAACTAAAACAAACGCGGTCAAATTCTTCCTAATCACGGATCCCACCCCCCACCCCCACCCCCACCCCGAAAAACGAGCGAACAGCAGAGGGAAAGTAAAGGAGGGGGGAGAAAACCCGGGCAAAGCCGGGATTTTGAGACGCACCCGGTCGACCCACTGGCGCGAATCCTCGGAGAACTCGAACGCCGGGTCCTCCATCAGCTCCGATTTCAGGACGTCGTAGGCCTCCACGAACTTGGTCTTCAGATCCGCCATTGACGCGAGGTGGCCGGAGCTCTCTGCCCCCGCCTGGCTCCTCTCTCCCTCTCTCTCCCGCGCGCGCGCCCTCCCTCCCTCCTTCCCTCCTTCCTCGGCAGAACCGAAGGAAACCTTAAACGCAGCGAAGCGAACGCAGAGACACGCGCGCACAAACACACACAGAGACAAGCGCGCTCTCAAGAATCGCTCGTTTGGCCCGGGCTTTTGTAGGTGTTCAACCGTCCTCAAATCTATCCCCGCGAAACGAGGCGCGGATTTGCGGCAAATTACGGGGCTGCCACCGCTTCACGTTCTGAACATGCGGTTTTTTGTCGTGATTTGCGCTTTGCGCTGTTGCGCGCGTGTATTTTTTATTGTGATTGGGCCCCATGCGAGTGTGCGATTTTTATGGTTTTTTTTTTTTTTTTAAGGTCAAGCGAGATCTTTTTCGAATATTTTCTACTTTTCTATACGCCTCCCAAAATTGTCGATTTCTGCCCATGATTAAGAAAAAAATATATAATGTCGAAGATATTATAAGTTGATTCATAAAAAAATATAATTCATCGAGATGCCCGTTTATGGCTTGTTTAGGGTTGATACCGTGGAGAACCCCGAACCGATAGACCCGTGACAAATTTACCCTCCGTCAGTTTCCGTAAAAAATTTAACCGCTAAAATTACCGAATTGGATGACACGGAACAGTTGACGGGTGTACCGATTTGGAGTTTTACCTTCTGTTTGTCATAGGTATATTGATTTGTGATTTTTCGTGGCATTAATCCAATTGAACGGAAACTAACTGAAGGTAAATTTATCACGAATGTATCAGTTTGGAATTGGGGTAAATTTATCACGAGTGTATTAGTTTGAGGATTTTGGTGGGCAAAAAAATTTGTTTGGAATAAATATGTCATAGGTGTATTGGTTTGAGGTTTTTCATGGTGGTAACATTTTAATAAATTAATCTTATAATCGATTTTATGGAATATTTGTTATTTCGTGCGCACTTAGCCAACTTGAACGGATTTGAGATGTCTTTTGAGCACTTTCTCCATGCTCATGGGATGCCAATAAAGTAGATCCCTCCTTAATCAGCATTTTTAATTAATATATGTACGTATGTGTGCGTGTAATAATTAAAGGTTCTGTGTTTGAGATGCGAATTGGTATCATTCCACCTAAAGTCCAGCGAGAAGTCGCTACTTTCCCAAAAGGACCCATGTAAATATAATATGATATTGATGCCTAAAGATGCAAAGGGGAGCATGACTTGAGATTAATTGAAAATTGATGAACTTTCCATTGGTAGAGAATGTGAACGTGGGCTGGCCGTGGCTTATTTGAAAAGGAGTTTGGTGAAAACCTCGAACTTGCATATCAACCGGAACCAAATGGAATGGGGAAAAAGGCGGTTCGCACAGCTCGAATCTACTTGATCACTCGCCCTGAAAAGCTCGAATTCATACAACGGCGGCTCGAGCCGTTGGAGATTCCAATCAATGTACTCCAAAGAGGCTTATGTTCGGTGAAGCTTTAGATTAGGCCAGCAATTGCATTAAAGGGCGCATTCGCAATAAATAGTTGTCCAACGTCGGCCTATGAAAGAAAGTTGGTAAGTCACTTTTATTACCTTAACCTACTTAATTACCTTAATCGATGGCAACACAAACTTAATATGCAAGCCCCTCCTAGGATCCCTTCTTCTTCTTTTTTCATTTTTTGAAGTCATGAATTCGGGTCAAAAGAAAGTGTAAACGTGACACTGTTGGTTTATAAAAATGGTGGGTGGGTAGGCAAACCTTTGACCAGCCTTTTGGTTGCTCATTGGCCTTCTTGCTTTTGGCAAATCAGTGAAATTGTCACTCTTTGACCTTTAAATTGAGTGAGTGGCACGTGCAATGCGACCATCAAGATTGACCAGAATTTTTAAGGGTTTTGTGAGAGGAGTTTATCTCAAGCAAGTGTGAGAGCATGAGTCAACATAAGTTTGCTGCACAAATCATTCATAACAAAGTGTTGCGAATTATATTAGGGAATAGAAAAAGGATAAAAGGCGATTTTCAAAACATTTTCTTTTTTCAAATGAAAAAGTCTGTCGTTCTATGTTGCCCCGTGGCACTTAACCCTCGTTTGGTAACATTGTATGCAATCGTGAATCGATTCGGTTTCGTTGTGCTATAATGCAAGGTTCTGTAGATTACAAATGATCTGACTTTGTTGTTTTACTTTTATCGTAAATGAACATGAAGCGTCGTAATTTATAAACTTTTTTTTTTTTAACTATGTCAAGTAAAGTGATTTACAATGGTTTACACTTTGACGGCATGGTAGATGTGATTGGTTTTTCAGGGTGAGCGATCAAGAAGCTAGAACTTACCCTGTTAGAGTCGATTCTTGACTTTTGGATTTGGGAATTGAACCGGTTCCCTTAGGATCCAACCTATTTTAAGGGTCAAGAAAACCGAGTTTATCTTTACGTAATATAACTATTATTTTAGAAAAGCATATCACACTTCCTAAGTTTCAAACCGGGTTCTAATGTATTTATTTCCTTTTGTAAAACAAAGTAAAAAAAAATAAAAAAACTAAACACCAATTAAGTTCTAGGATAGAGCCTACAGTGTATAGAATCAAGATTTGAATTGGCCACGGTTGATTTCCCAAATGTTTACCTAGAAACCTACATGATCCTCGTGTGAACCGGCCCAGAACTGGTCGGGTAAGGCCAGTTCGATTCGGTTCCTGAATGGAATCGGTCCGATTGCTCACCACAGTGGCATGGTATTCGTTGGCCACCGTCTACCTACCTAAATATATAAAAGGTTCACCTTTTTGGCTCTTTTGCAAAATGAGAACGTCCTTTTGCTTTGTTCCTCAAGCTTCAAACAACGATTCTTCTCCCAAACAAAACCCAATAAAAGCAAGGGAGAATAAAAAGGAATAAATTCGACAATAAAACATATTCTCATATATTTACAGGTAAATATAAATATATATTCGCATATCCTAATGTAAAATAACCGTAGATCCAGACAAAAAGGCGCATATCTCGGCATCAAAATTGTAAAAGATTAAAAAAAAAAACTTTGGACAAGACACGTGGACAAATTTCTTGAGGCGTTTTTGGGGGAATTCCCAAGGGAAGAGCAGTGGCAGCTTCGTAATTTCGTGGCGAAAACGTGGCGCTACGCGATTGCTCCCCGGACAAAGAATTTCCTTCTACTTTTCTTTTTCTTTTTCTTTTCTTTTGAAAATTTTTCGCCCTCACACAGAGAAATTATTTTTATTCGATGCTTCGTAAAAAATAGTCAAAATCCTAACCGATAGTTTATGACTTTGGTACTATTGAAAATAATTTACTACATTAAAAAAATAACTAATGTTACATACGTTGAAATCAATCTAAATGAGTGATACCCTAAGTAGCGAAGCGGGTTGCGAGCACGCATATTCAAACGTTCGATAAGAAAATAGCGGGCCGATTAACACATTAAAGTGCTAGGAAGTGGGCTAAGAAAAATGACGTCATTATTCATGTCGTACCAAACCAAACTGCATAGTCCACGCTTCGCACGTGCGAAGTTCCGGTTGACCAATCAAAACTCAAAAGCATCGCGGAATCTTTTTAGTGTGGTGGGCCCCCACCCTGTGAGGATCACGTGTCCCTCAGCCGCGACGGATCTCGACCGTCCGATTCCTCCGAGGAGCCGGATCGCGAGCCGTCCGATGCGTCGAGATGAGGGTCAGCCGCAACCGTAGATCTTGCACCAACTTCGCGGGCGGCACAATAAAGTCAAAGTAAATGGGCAGGCTGTTCTGAGTTGCAATTTAATAACTGTCAAGGGTAGGTGAGATTTATCGGATTTTAGTTATTTTTTTAATTTTTTTTTAAAATATAGTTTTTCAGGCAGCCATCCAATCTTGAATTTGGGAAAAAACAGAAGAAGACTAGTTTTAATTCTGTTTAAAAATATTTATTTATTATTAAGTCAAGTTTGGATGACTAAAGAGTGAGGTGCCGGTCTGAGCATATTCCTAAAAGGTTTCATCTCGGTTCTCGTCTAGATCTCGGGATAACCAGGATGTAAATTTGTCGGAAGAGTATCCCCTCTCTCCGGGGAAGAAAAATATATAGGGAGAATTAGGGGGTGCAGGACATGCGGGTACCGACACGTTAAAATAAGAAAGGCATCCGTAAAGCCCGTCTAGCAGGATCGGGAAAGGTCGCGAAAGCCTCTGTAGGAGTTTTAGCTTCCTTCCTTTGATGATGTTACCTTTTAACCGAACACTACGGATTTTGGGCAAGTCTCCGTTTTAAGAGCGACAGTTACTAAATAGAGTTTTTCATGCGGCCATCCATTCTTGACTTTGTGGGGGAAAAAAACAGATGACTATTTGAATTTTATTTTCAAAAAAAGAGTATTTATTTTTCAGTCAATTTTGGATGACTGAGGAGTGAGGTTAGCTAAGGGAGCACTACCGGCCGTCAGATAAGAACATGAAGTGCGGACAAGCCAAGTGCCCCCAGTTGCACACGATTGGTTTCACATCGTTTTCTTCATCGACCGTACGTTTGGCAGGAGGGTGATGTCCCACCTCGAGCTCTGACTTTTAGACATTCGCATCGTTTTCGATAATCAACGCCGCCAGGAAAAAAAGTTGTGTTCGGGACTACTTCTGTTTTTTTAGCTTCTGTTGAATCGAGAAACGGGTTTGATTGGCCGTGGAGGAAAGTCCCTGTCGGCTAAGTTTTGATCGGCACGTTCAGCATGTTTTCAGTTCTGTTATGGCGAGGATCAACGACCCGAGGAGTGATTTGATTGAATTCCCGGTTTTTACAAGTGTTTCTTCTCATCTTTTTTATATCTCCAAGCAAGGAAAATATGAATACGGGATCGCTCTGGAAACTTGGCTGCGTGGAGCTCGACCCACTTCGAATTCCATCCGGTTTAAGTGGATTCGGAATTCGAGCTTTTCGAATACCATATCGAGTCGAGCTCTAGTTTGACCTAGCCAGCAACATATTCCTGATTAGTCGAAATTCGAACGTCAAACCTTTGATCGGTTAGTCTCGAATACTGAATTACTTTGATTCGAGATAGCTCGACCGAGGGAA